TTGTGCTGACTCAGCAGTATTAAAGCAGCATTTGTGCTGACTCAGCAGTATTAATGCAGCATGCTGACTCAGCAGTATTAATGCAGCATTTGTGCTGACTCAGCGGTTATAATGCAGTGTGTTGACTCAGCAGTATTAATGCAGCGTGCTGACTCAGCAGTATTAATGCAGCGTGCTGACTCAACAGTATTAATGCAGCATTTGTGCTGACTCAGCAGTATTAATGCAGTGTGCTGACTCAGCAGTACTAATACAGTGTGCTGACTCAGCAGTAATAATGCAGTGTGCTGACCCAGCAGTATTAATGCAGCGTGCTGACTCAGCAGTATTAATGCAGTGTGCTGACTCAGCAGTATTAAAGCAGCATTTGTGCTGACTCAGCAGTATAAATGCAGTGTGCTGACTCAGCAGCATTAATGCAGTGTGCTGACTCAGCAGTATTAATGCAGCATGCTGACTCAGCAGTATTAATGCAGCATTTGTGCTGACTCAGCAGTATTAATGCAGTGTGCTGACTCAGCAGTTATAATGCAGTGTGCTGACTCAGCAGTATTAATGCAGCGTGCTGACTAAGCAGTATCAATGCAGCGTGCTGACTCAGCAGTATTAATGCAACGTGCTGACTCAGCAATATTAATGCAGTGTGCTTACTCAGCAGTATTAATGCAGCGTGCTGACTCAGCAATATTAATGCAGTGTGCTTACTCAGCAGTATTAATGCAGTGTGCTGACTCAGCAATATTAATGCAGCGTGCTGACTCAGCAATATTAATGCAGCGTGCTGACTCAGCAGTATTAATGCAGCGTGCTGACTCAGCAATATTAATGCAGTGTGCTTACTCAGCAGTATTAATGCAGTGTGCTGACTCAGCAGTATTAATGCAGTGTGCTGACTCAGCAGTGTTAATGCAGTGTGCTGACTCAGCAGTATTAATGCAGTGTGCTGACTCAGCATTTATAATGCAGTGTGCTGACTCAGCAGTATTAATGCAGTGTGCTGACTCAGCAGTATTAATGCAGCGTGCTGACTCAGCAGTATTAATACAGTGGTGTTTATCTGTACAGTTGACAGTTTTTCTGTAATAAGCTGTGATTTTAAACACTTGTTTTGTGTTTTTAACCTTGTATTTGTTTGTTTGTGGTGCAGACAGACGAGGAGAAGAGACAAGGTCTCCCGGTGGTCATGCCTGTGTTTGACAGAAACACGTGTAGCATCCCAAAGTCCCAGATTTCCTTCATAGACTACTTCATCACAGACATGTTTGATGCGTGGGACGGTAAGAAGACGCAGCACACACACAGTCCTGCCTGGGAAACATGACGAAGCAGTTTGTCTCTCCTGTCCTCTCCTCAGCCTTTGCAGACCTCCCCAATCTGATGCAGCACTTGGACAACAACTTCAAGTACTGGAAAGGCCTGGACGAGCGGAAGCTGCACAGCCTGAGACCCCCTCCKGAGTAGGTCCTGGTGGGCCCTGGCACACGCCTCGTCCCGGGGCGGACCTCCTCCCTCCCGCTGGAGCGTTACTCCCCCCGCTCCGCCAGCCCAGCCAGCCGCGGGGGCCTCCTCGCCTTTACTGTCCTGCTTCTGTAGCACGCCGAGCGTCCACGTGTCCGTCCGCACCCAACCCGCAGAGGGACCCCCCCTCACGCTGCAGAYGAAGCCCGCCGGATCAGAACTCCTGTGAACTCCTCTGGCCTGGTTTTACTCGCGGCGTGGCTGACTGAACGAGGGTCCGCGCGGGGAGCTCGGCCCCTCTCTGGCCGTGACGTTAGGAGTAAAAACTGCTCGCTCGCAGGAGTGGATGCGCTCGGCGCACGTCGGAACACGGGGGTCACCTCTGACCTTTGAACCCTCCGGAGGCCGCACCATGGAAGTACACTCCACTGCTTCTCTTCTGTTTGCTTTGGTTTTCAGGCAATATTTTCACGTGTCCTTCAGAAACACTAATGATGTGAGATTAAAGGAGGGCAGGGGGGCGGGGCTTCCTTTATGAGTGGACCTTGTATTCTTGCCCCCCCACCTGCTGAGAGACAAAAACCTCAACATGTTGAACGAAGGTTTCTAATTATTTGCTCCTTTTTTCCATGTTTTCTATATTCAAATCCACAAATGAATTAGTAACGAATCAGTTAAAAAGAAGCCGAAGCTAAAGAGTCGAGAACTAGGAGTGAAAAATTCACATTTATTAGTCGTTATTAATCTTTTTTATTTTCATATCAAGACTACAGTTTGAATGAAGTCTTTTGTATCGCACTGTAAACAGAAAGAATGGGTCGTTGCATTGGAGAATAAGCTGTTGATCATCGTGTGTGTGTGTGTGTGTGTGTGTGTGTGTGTGTGTGTGTGTGTGTGTGTGTTGCAACAATCCCTGACTCCTGGTTTAAAGCTGTAAACAGCTTTGACAGCAGCAGAGATACATGAAAACCGTTTTGGACTTGAACAGTTTTGTTTTTGTTTGTTTCCTCCCAGAGCAGTTTTGTATCTGTTTGTCCTACTGAAAAGACTGCCTTATTTTGTACAATATTTATATACAGCAACATCCCACTGTGCAACTGCAGCAGACATCTGGAGTTTTTATTACCACGCAGCCAGAAGGTCACCTTCAAGTAAATCTCAATATTTTTATAGACGATGAATTTTACACTGGATTTGCAGCAGGTGAGACGAAGGATGATGTGAGTACCTGTGAAGGACGAGGCCACGCAGAGGGAAGAGTTGTCTATCACTGTCGTTCAGCCGTCTCCAAGAGGCCGGCCTGAATTAACTTTCTGTTGTTTTTGTTTGTTTTGGATCAAACGTCCTCCTCTTGACCAACTGTCCAACATCCTCTCTGCACAGATTTGGGTAACATCTTTTTCTTTACGGTTGGATTCAGATTAGGATACTAATATATGTTAAAGATTGTTGCTTCTTAGGAATATTTCCTCTTTAAACAGTATAAAATGTCATAACAGCTCAGCCAGGGGTGGTTAATAAGATGCATTAACCGTGGTTCTTTTGGTTTCTCTCTCTCTCTTACGGCAGAAATGTAAACAATCAGGGGATTTGGTTGTTCCTTCTGATTCACGTTTTGGTCTGAAGGCACGGAAAAACATTAGAGATTATTCAATGAAAAATAAAATAATGTCAACTACATCTTTGTAGTTTCTTTTCTGGAACAATTCAGTGTTTGGCCTTCTGCCTGGATATATGTCTTTATTTTTATTCATTTAAGCTTAAAATATTACATTAAAACACCACGTTTAACCATCTCATCCTGTTTTTTTAAAGGATGCAGATTTAACCTTCAGTTACCTAAAAGATAWAAAACAGATCCTAGTTTCAGCACTGAGAGCTAAAATAACACAGCTGAAGTGTTAAACAGTCGGTGCAGCGGCTGTGTTTATTATGGAGATGAATTGGGGCCATAAAGATGTGAAAAAACAAATTTTTGAAACTGAAATAAAAAATATTTTGAAACTGAAAACCAAGTTTGAAACCAACAAAAACAAGTTTTAAAATTTATTTTACGAAAACTTAAAAACTACTTCTATCATGTATTTAAATTACTTAGTTAAGTTTATTCATTTCTTTAAAAAAAATTCATCATACACCAGAATTACAAGTCATAAATGAAAAGTAGCAGAAGAAGAAATAATCTTATATCTGCCCCTTTTTCTCAAATAAATAAATTCAATCAATAATCTTTAGATTACAAAAACAATATGGCATTCCATTGTATCATATAATTAATGCAGGTCATTGTGTCGTGTAACAAAAGTATGACATGCTGCTGTTTCATAATTAACAAGGTATGGCAGACAGTTCTGTCATGAATTAAAATATGGCAGGTCATTGTGTCATTTAATCAAACCCACCTGCAGGTAGAACCATGGAGGTCCGGTATAGCTCATCCAGTACCTCGTTCATAGATGTRCTGAAATATTTTCAACAGCTACACATTATATTAAACTGGGGCTTGCCATAAATGAATGGGAAACATTGCAAAATCCAAGATGGCCGCCAAAGTTTAATTTAAATGGCTTTAATTTTAAAGTTACAGTTAATTTCCCCTTGGAATCAATAAAGTATTATGAATCAACCAATTATAAATTAATTTGCCATTTTTGACACATTGAGCTAAAAACTTGTAGCTGAGAGTGATGGTCCAAATCAACAATCCAAGATGGCCGCCATATCTAAAATGTAAACTTCACCATACCTCAGCAGTTTTTATACATATTAAATTTGGTGTGGTAGACGAGAGCAATAATCATAAACTGAATTCAAATCAACAATCCAAGATGGTCGCCATACCTAAAAGGAAGAATTGACCACAGCTTGGCCATTTCACCCACACTGGGCTGATGTTTGGTGTGGGGGTAGTCARGCACCAAGAGGCAAGCTCCTTCATAGTTAGGCCTACACCAGGAACTATTCTAGTTATTAATGCTCACACACGAGGGAGAAAAGATTTTATAAAAATCCTTCAGTAGTGAGAAAAAAACATGAAATTTCTACCCAAATAAGACTTAAATAAGACTGAACTGAATGTTGGAAAAGACATTATTTAACTCGTGTTGCATGTAGCTCCAGTTCACAGCTGAAGAGGAGAAAAAGAAACTTTCTGCAGAACGAGGACCAGAGAGGACAGCCATCTGCCCCGAGCGGCTGGGGGTGAAGGGACACGAAGGGGCAAAGGACAGAAAGGACAGCGAGGGGCAGCAAAAACAAAGAAGAGTCTGTTTGTTATTAGTCAGGCATGAAAGACAACATCGACTGTTGATGTAAGACAGAAGAAAAAATGTTTCTACCCTGAAACTTTGGTGAGGAAACAGAAAATATTTTTTAAAATGAGCAGTCTGGCCACTGCTTACATTAAAAATCTTACTGTAAACAAAATGCAAACTTTATCCTGTCTTTTCTCTTAAACTGTAAGCAGCTGATCCGTCATCTGGTTTGGGTGAAACCAGTTCTAGTTTTGAACAAACTGCATATTTTTAAGTCAGTTTGACTGAACCTAAAAATACTACAGCGGGTAAAATAAGTATTGAACACGTCACCATTTTTCTCAGTAAATATATTACTAGAGGTGCTAATGACATGAAATTTTCACCAGATGTTGGTAAC